AGGTAGGGCGGCGCGGCTCGGGTTGGGCAGGACGGCTCGGGCTGGGCGGCGCGGCTCGGCCGGGCAGGGCGCGCCGGGGGCTGCAGGTCAGGGCGCGCGGTGGACAGGGCAGCAGGGCGCGCGCTGTGCAGGGCAGCAGGGCGCGCGCTGTGCAGGGCAGCAGGGCGCGCGCTGTGCAGGGCAGCAGGGCGCGACGTGTGGGGCAGCAGATCGCTACGCGCTGGCTGCAGTAGGGCGCGACCCGTTGGCTGCAGCAGGGCGCGACATGCAGGGCAGCTGGGTGCGACGCGCTGGCTGCAGTAGGGCGCGGTGCGCTGGCTGCAGCAGGGCGCGACGCGCAGGGCAGCAGAGCGCGATGCGCTGGCCGCAGTAGGGCGCGACGCGCTGACTGCAGCAGGGCGCGACGCACAGGGCAGCAGGGCGCGACGTGCAGGCTGCAGCAGGGCGTGAGGCGCAGAGCAGGAGAGCGCGAAGCGCGGGCTGCAGCAGGGCGCGACGTGCGGGGGGGGGAAGGCAGTGCGAGTAGCTGCAGGGCAGCGCGACACTGTGCGAGCAAGGCCGGACAGCGCAAGGGCGCTTCGGGAAGGAACGAGCGAAACTATCGGTGGGCCCTAAAAACTGAACAGGTTTCCTGCTCTGATACCATGTCAGAGTAACTGTGCAGGATCGAATGAATTATAAATGAGATGGGTTCAAGTACTAACCATGAAGTGTTGTAACCATTGTAAGCTAACCCACTAAGCCTAGAGAAAACACAAACATTTAGTTTGACATTTCATGGATACAAAAAGGCAATATATAGAGCAAAAGACATGACATGTATATGAGCTATAAATGAAAGCCCTCTCCTGCCTAAGACACAATGCTTTACTTGGAACAATCTAGACCAGAAGCAACCAGGCCTTGCGAATCCGTGGTGTTGATCTATCTGAGGTTGATGGACGTATTTATGACATTCCGGGAATAAAATGTGCTCTGCAGAACGCGGTCTCGGTATGACGAGGCAGCTAGTAGAAGCGCGTGATGAGGTGGAAATCGTCATCCTTGAGCGTGCGAACTTCCTTCGCACCAATGAAATGCTCCAGCCCAATGTTGTTCACAATCTCCACGAACTCGCGTCGCCGCGCCTCGTTGTAGGGCGTGTACGGCAGGCGGAACACGGGCCGCACGAGGCCCAGCTGGCAGAGCGCCGTGCTGAGCCCGATGGGGTTGGGCTCGAGGAACAGCCACTTGGTCAGCGGCGCGAGCTTCGCGTTCACCTCGGGGTGCGGGCCCGTCGTCAGCATCTCGTGCACCAGCCCTGCGTGGGGGAGAGCGGGGGAAGGAAGGGGGGGTGGGTGGGGAAAGAGGGGGGCTACGTGAGGCTTTGCGGGAGAAAGAGGTACAGGTGGAGCGAGTAAGGGAGATGGAGAGGGGCGGCGTGGAATACCGTGCGGGAGAGGAGTGGGGACGAGGGCGATAGGCAACACGGTGGGACGAGGCACGGTTGTGTGAGAGGGAGAGGGGGCGGGCGGGAACGGCACGCGCCAGGACACGGTTTCTGAGTATGGGGATGTCTGGTAACGACTTGGGACTCAAAAATACTATTGGCAATGACTTGGAATCTCTTCCAATCTCGGGGCTGCACGTACCGGGGACGAGGTTGCTGAGGACGGAGATGACGCCATTCGCGCCGTGCTTCCACTTGGCATCGTGACATTGGTCATCATTGCCGCTCCACACAACGATCCCCTTGCTGGTGTGCGCAGACACGCGGTCGTTCCCGACGCACTCCTTGACGCCCGCGAAGTTCTCGTGCTGCGCGAGCTCCTCGATCACGTCGGGCGTCAGGTCCGTCCCCGTGCGCCCCGGCACGTTGTAGATGATCGCGGGGCCCATCGGCAGCACCGCCCTGCGCTCGCGAAACGACAGTGAGCGGAAAAGAGGAGAGATGATGAGACATTGGAGGGAGGTTACTAAGGTGTAAAGGCAGGCGAGAGGCCGTGGTTCGTAACTGAAGAGCAAAAAATGGATGTGCTTTTTGAAGGCGGTGCGTCGGTTTGTTAACACCCTAGCTATCGCGCAGCAGTCCCGGCACACGAACCGCACTTACTTGTAGTGTTGGATGATTCCGTCGACGCTGGTCTTGCCGTAGTACGGGTTGATCTGCAGCGCCGCGTGCATGCCCACCGCGAACCCCTGCTCCGTCGCGTGCATCGCCTCGCCAGTGCTGTTACTTCCGGTGTTCCCAATAACCTTGATCTGATCGCCGAAGCAGTTCACCGTGTGCGCGATGAGCATCACGTGCTCGTCCCAGCTCATGAGGTGGCCCTCGCCCGTCGTGCCGCCCACGATGATGGCCTCTGTGCCGTTCTCGATCTGGTGGTGGACCAGGTAGTCGTACGCGTCGATGTCGAACCGCCCGTCCGGGAGATACGGCGTCTTGATCGCCGTCACTAGCGAGAGCGCCTTGATCTGCTCAATGTGCGGCCTGCAGTGCCCGGGGTGTAAATCCCGGGGAAGGGGGAGCGGGGCGGGGCGGGGAAACGAGGAGTAGAGGGTGGGGGTGGTGGCGCGACACTGACGACAGCAGGCAGACGCGAAGAGCTAAAGAGGCTACGTGGCCATTTCAAAAAGCCGCGCGAGCACGAAATGAGGCCAGCCCGAGCGGAGAGACGGGGACAAAGGAGTCGGAAGCAGAAATAAATTGAATGCAGAGAGGCAGCGACGTACAGGTTCTTCTCCTCGTGGCTCTTCATTGGGACCGGTGGCGCCTCCATCATCGCGGCGCGAGCGGCGCCGGCTCTTTGGTGCTTCGGAACGGCTTTCACGGTGGTTACGCCTTTCAGCAAATGCGCGGGGTCTGCTCGGAGCGTGGCGCACGCAGGGGCGAGGCGCAAGGAGGTGGTTGTAGCGGCCATTATGGCTATCAGTGATGCTGTGAATGCAGTACTTGGTTGGGAGGAGAACGAGCTAGCAAAGAGCAGTCTGAATGTAGAGTATGACGTTGGGATAATCTATGAAGCTCGTGCTTTTTATTGTATTCAATTCGTGATGAAAGATAGAACGAGTGTGGTTGGCATGGCAGTGAAAGGGAAAGGGAGAGCAAGGGAAGGAGGGGAGGGAGGGTAGAGAAGTGCCTGCAGTCAGGAATGCGGAATCGTGGAAAGGAGGGAAGTCGACGGGGAATGGATGAGCGGCTCGGACTGCACATTCAGATGCTACGTGGAATTGTCTGATTTGATGCCGTGACCCACATGGGCTGCTCTGAGACTATTCACAATTCACACCATTTACCCTCTCTGACCGTTGACGACTGCATATCCAGTAGTGATTCAGCTTTAGTTTCTGTTTCCGCTGGTTATTTGTAAAATATCATCTTCGAGCCTCCATTATCTAAGAATATCGCATTTGTACAGAAACTATTACAGATGAAGCGGCAGAATTAGTGAACACACCCGTTGAGGAGACGCGTTTTGAAAACAAGACTTTTGCCTTGCTGGTTTTCTCCAATCAGTAGCCTTCACCTGGCAGCAGAGCTGTGATGGTCAGCGTGTGAGGAAAATGGCCAGCTCGACAATCTCCAGGAAAGCTGCGCCTTCCAGCGAATTGCTTCACGAGTTTGCGGATGACTTGGTTGAAAGCGAACTAATGGGGGAGGGCTCAGAAAGTATCCAACAACGGCGCAGCCTAGCAGCGCTGCCACACGTGGGGATAGCCAGCACTTGGCTCCTTCTGCTGTCAGAAGGGCGCGAACGAGTCATGGACTGCTTTGGCCCAACTCCGACTGACAGATCCATCATAACACAATCTCGATGTAAGCAGCTTCTGTTTGTTGAGGCACATCCGTTGAACACGTTAGATCCATATGTTATGCATGCAAAAAATTGTTGCCTTGTGCCTGTTCGTGGGTTACCATGGCTTATTATGTAATCAGGGCCTTTATGAAGTTTTTTTTTTAATCCAGGAAAAGTGAGATTTGTATCTCAACAGTTTCCATTTTGGCTTGTTATATTGGGAGCTGCTAACAATTCTGTATAGGTTCAAACTTTTTAAAACTCCGTAACCGATTTCGAGCAATTATAGCCGTCGTTGAGCCGCCTTTTCGTAATCTACCCGTAACTGCTCCACGCGATGAGAACCTTCGATTTAATTGCTTTGCGTTCCTGTCAACACCGCCACCACGAGAGTGCTTCGTGCGCTCCACCCTGTAGGGTGTCTGCCCTCTGACGTGCGGGACTTGTTCAGCTGACCCTGTCCCGCGTGGCAGAGTTCAATGGGCTGATTTCCTTTTTACTTGCCCAATTTCTGCACTGACCGCCTAAGAAGACAGTTTCTGCACTGACCGCCTGAGTGTGCTGAACCGCGCCATTGTTACCCTAAACCCTTTATTGTGTTCCATCTCAAGTGGTAAACCCGGCTGCCGTACAGTACAACTTGTTACATTGACCAGTTTGGATTTAGCCTGCTGCTGGCAGGTCCTTAGTTCCGCGCTTCTGCGCTAGGTAGGATGATCGTAACTGGAAGATTCCTCAGCTAAGTACTAACTCATAAAACTCTCGAAACAGCATTGTCTTTCACCCGTGAAAGACTCTCATTACGAACACCCCGCAACCATCCCCCACACTTGGTTGTGGATCACTACCAGGTCCCATTGAAGTTGGATAAATGGTCACGTTCCCGAATCAACTGACCGCCGAGTGAAACCTCGAGTGAAATTCAGAGAAGCCCTGTTTTCCCCAACCTACCCACCAGCGCCTTTCTCCACTTTGCTGCGCGCCGTGCCAACCTGGACAACCCACCCACCACCACTCTTCCTCCCTGCTGCAATCGATTCTAGGGTTTCGCTGCAATCATCTACAGCAGTTTTCACCAGAAACACTGCCGAATTGCCTAACTCACATCTGCTAGCCACTTGTCACCAGCTTTCGCCCACCGATTGTATAGCGATAGTTGTCGTAATTGTTGAGTGTTTGAAGGAACGCGGCGTCGAGAGCTATGGTGTAGCAAACTGCCCTTTCATGGCGTCAGAGGCGGATCGACTCCGTCTTGAGCTGCACGCATCGCGGGTCGAGTGCGCGGAGCTGCGGAGCCGATTAGAGGTAGCTTATCCCTTTCCGTGTCTGCTTGATCCGTTCCGCTAGAATTCGCGATAGTGACAATTCGTCGTGTTGTCTGCCTTGCCATGCCGAGCACTTCTCTCCTCGCTTCATTCCCGGTTCTGCCGGCGCCGTTCGCTGCCGCCTACTCTTCGCATTCCCAGCTTCACCCGTACCTTTCTTTGTTCTTTCCCGTTTTCTTCCGTGGCTCGCTCTCTTCGCTCGCCTTTTTGGAGAAAAGGCGGGCCCCGCGGGGATAGAGCGCGCGCGGTATGGCGTGGGAGGGGAGCGGGAGGCGGAGATGGCGCAGCGCGTGGAGGAGCTCACGCGGGAGTTGGAGGCGGAACGGCAAGAGGCGGAGCGCGCGAGGCGGTTCCACGAAGATGAGCTGACGATGCTGTTGGCGTCGAATAAAGACAAAGAAGCCGTCTGGACCAGAAAAGTACATCCTTCTCCCTTCCCCCGTCTCTCCCCGCAATCCCCCTCACTCCCCCACGCGCTCCTGCTCCCTCCCTCTGTTTCCCCGTTCTTCCCCCCATCTCTTCGTCTCCCCTTCCCCTCCCCCATCCTCTCCCCTTTTCCTTTTCCTCTCCCCAAGCCCCCCCCCCCCCCCCCCCCCCCCCCCCCTTTTCCTCTCCTCCGTAGCTCTCCTTTCTCTGCACTCTCACCATTGCCTCACGCTCAATTTCTCTCTCCCTCAGCTCATCCCCGCCCTCTCTTCCCGCCTCCAACCCGGCGCGTGCGGCGGCGGCGCAAGAGATAGAGTTGGAGCAGGAGTTGCGCGAGCTGAGAGAGCATTTGGGCGGCATTTGAGTCGACACAAAGTCCCTTTTGTTCTCATCACTCTCACTCGCATTGCCTCACGCTCATCTTTTCTCGCTCATTCCTTCCGCTCGTCCGCAGGAGATGGAGTTGGAGCAGGAGTTGCGCGAGTTGAGAGATCAGCTGGGCGACGCGCGGCGGGGCCACGCGCTCGGCGGGCAGCTGCAGGCGCTAGAGGACCGCCTAGCGGACGCGCGCGAGGGTGAGGCGCGGGGAGGCGGGAGAAGTGGTGGTGGGGTGGGGGGGCGCTGGGGAGTGTAAGGGATGCAGGAGAGGGTGAGGGACAATGGGGGAGAGGGGGAGGTGGAGGGGGGGGGGGAGGAGGAGGAGAGGGGGCCAGCAGGCCGCATATCCCAATAGCAGCTAATTCTTCCCTCCTTTATGCCTCCCATTCTCGCCTCTCATTCTCACTCGTGCTCCCTCACGCCTCCACTCTCACACCCCCGCGATCACCTGTGCGGCATGCGCTCCATTCTGCTCTCTACCGCCGCTCTTCCCTGTACCTCGCTCCGCCCATCCGCGCACCGCCGCCTGGGGCCCCGGGGACCGCACCTCGCGTCCCCGCGCCCCCTCCTGCGCTCTTTCTCCCCCGTTCCGCGAACCATCTCGTTCGCTGCCCCCCTCTCCCTTCCCCCATCCCCCGCAGCGCTCTCCCTGGCGGAAGCCTTCGCGGAGGAGCAGCGCGTGGTGCGCGAGGAGGCGGACGCGCGCGTGCGCGCGCAGGAGGCGGAGGTGGAGCTGCTGCAGGCGCGCATAGAGGACATGGCGGAGCAGGCGGAGGAGGACGAGGAGGAAATGGCGGCGCTCGAAGAGGACCTCGCGCGCGCCATCAAGCGCGTCGAGGAGCTGGGGCTGCGCTCCGCCGCCATGACCATCGAGGTGCGCGGATGGGGGGATGCGCGTGTGTTGGGGTTGCGCAGATGGGGGGATGCGCGTGTGTTGGGGTTGCGCGGATGGGGTTTGCGTGGTTGGGGGTGTGCGGAGGATGGGGGTTGCGTGGTTGGCGGGTGCGTGGATGGGGGGGTGCGGGACTCCCATTCTGTGGTGCACTTATCACAACCGTACCCATTCTGTCCCCACTCCTCTCCGCATATCCTCACAACTCCTCCCCCGCAACCCCTCTCGCGCGCTCCCCCAATAACAGATGGAGCAGGTGCAGGAGGAGCTGCGGCGGGAGCGCGAGCTGCTGCGCAGAGGGGGTTGTTTCGGGCATGAATGTTCATTTGATTGTTCCGCCGTCTCCCCCTGCCCCCTTCCCCTCCCCCCTCCCCCTCCCCCCCTCTCCCCCCCCAACAGATGGAGCAGGTGCAGGAGGAGTTGCGGCGGGAGCGCGAACTGCTGCGCAGCACCGAGACGGTGGCGGAGGCGGAGTGGCTGCGCCGCGTGGCGGCGGAGCGCGCGAACGCCGCGCTGCAGCGCGACGTGGAGCGCGCGCAGTTGGACGCGGACGAGCTCTGGGGCGCGCTCGAGGCGTTCCGCGCGGAGGGCGCGGGCGTGGCGGAGCAGCTGCGCGTGCAGATGGAGGCTGCGGTGCGCGAGGCCGCGGAGCGCGAGCGCGCGCACCGCGCGGCCATGGCGCGCGTGGACGAGGAGGTGGAGCGGCTGGCGGAAGAGGCGGAGGCGGCGGCGGAGCGCGAGGAGCTGGCGGCGCAGCTGATCGACCGCCTGAAGGACCACAACGCGCTCCTTGCGCGCCAGCTCGCCGCCATGGCTAAGCGCGCGGGCGCGGGCGCGGGGGGAGCCGCGCGCGCGGTGGGGGAGAGCGGGACGGAGGCGGAGGAGGATAACTTCGCGTTTGAGGCGAGCGGGAAGGCGGCGCGGGGGGGGCAGGGCGGGGAGGAGAGCGGAGAGGGGGAGAGCGAGGGGGAGAGTGTGGAGGAGAGCGGGGACGCGGAGAGTGTGAGCCAGTCGTACGAGGGGGAGGCGTCACCGCTTCTCAGAGCGCAGGGCCGCGGGCAGGGCGCGGGACTGAATAACTTTGAAACGGGCAGCATGGTGGGCAGCATGGCGGGGAGCAGTATAACGGGCAGCAGCGTAACGGGCAGTAGCATCCTGGGCAGCACTATAGGCGGGCAGCGGACAGGGTGGGTGGGGCCAGGGGAAGGCGCGGGGAGAATGGGCGCAGATAACCGGGTAGCAGGGGGGAACGAGCGCATGGGTGGCGCGTATGGGCTGGCAGGGGAGGGGGAAAGCCCTAGCGGGTTAGCAGGCACGTCCCCCACACTCTCTTTCACTCCCCCCCCGCAGCACTCTCCCCTGCACCACCAGTATCCATACCAGCAGCAAGCGGCGCGCATGGCAGGGGGGAACGAGGAAGACGAGGAGGATGAGGAGGATGAGGTAGGGGAGGAGGGAGCGGAGGAAGAGGAAGAGGAGGGACTTGCGACGGATTCGGAGTTTTCCTTCTCAGTGCCCGTCCCACGCAGCGGAGCGTGGCGGGCAGCTAAGGAGATCGCATCTCTCTACTACACAGCGGGAGGGGCGGGGGATGAGGACTTGGAGCGGGAAGAGGAGGAGGCGGAGTTTGCGTTACTGCAGGAGGAGAACGATCGGCTGGCAGAGGAGGTAGTGCGGCTGCAGGAGCAGGTGGGAAAGTCGCGGAAACTCGTGGGGAATTACGAGAAGATGCGGAGAAGGATCATGCAGCTGAGAGTGTGTCTGGAGCTGACGAGAAAGGTGGTGGAGGTGAAGGATAGGGCGATGGAGATGGCTATGGATAGGGCTAGGAGAGCGGAGACAAGGCTTAGAGAGATGGAGGCTCAACTGGTGGAGCACCGCCAGGCTGCTGCTGCCTCTGCTGCTGCCGCCGCCGCTGCTGCTGCTGCGACTGTCACTGCCGGTGCTGGTGGTGCTTCTGGGACAACATCTGCTGGTGGAGGGAAAGGAGGTGCCGGTGATACTTGTACTGCTGGTGGAGGTGGTGCCGGCACAAGTCAAGCTGGTGTGGACGGTGTGGGGAGGGTTCAGGACGCTGCGAGGAGAGGCGAGGAGGACGGGCAGAGTGAGGAGGAGGAGTTGAAGGAGGAAGGGGACGAGATTGCAGAGATGACGGGGAGGAAGCAGCTGGGGAACGCGAAGCGGAGAGGGAGAGGCGAGAGAGGGGAGAGAGGGGAGTCGTGTGCGTCCTCCACCACCGATCGCTCCGACAGCCATCTGCTTCTCTCCGGCGCCACTCCTATAGCTAGCAGTGGGGCCCTGCAGGCGCGGGCAGCAGTCGGACTGAAAGAACTCCAGGCAAACCGGGACGCGTTGCGAATCGCCATGAGAGGAGTCAGAGAGCGAGCCGCTCTGGCTGCAGAGGCGCAGCAGAGGGTGGCGGGGAGCCAGGGGCGGAGAGGGAAGGCGGGGAGGAAGGCGGAAGCGGGAGCAGTGGGGGAGATGTTGGCAGAGGTGGAGGAGGAGGTGGTTGAGGGGCAGAGTCTTGTGGAGCGGGCTGAGAGGATTGTGGCGCGAATGGCTGCGTTGGAGAGTAAAGGGGCGGGCGTGGGGAAGAAGATGGAGGGGAAGAGGAAGAGACTGGCTGAGCTGGAGGCGAGGCTGGGGTTGGCTCCTAGGAGAGGTGCGGGAGGGGGTCTGTCTTGCCTGCTGCCGTTCCACCGAGGCAGCTGACGCACTGTTGCTGCTGCTGCTGCTGCTGCTGCTGCTGCCACCTCGCTGCTGCTGCTGCTGCTTAGTTCTAACACTAACCCAAGTCTCTCCCCATACAACTAACCCCCTCTGGCTGTCTGTACATGGGTGTCTGTACCTACGGTATCGTTCCCATGGTGCCCCATGCAACTAATTAGTTTGAGCTGTGCTCGCATGGGTTTATCCTATGGTGCCTTTGCGCAAAGAGACGGCGCTAATAAAGTCACACCGATGGTCCCATCCCATCCCAGCAGTCATTGCCAACTACGGTGGAACCGGGGCAAAGCCTCGTGCATGTATTTATTCTACCTGTTCACCCACTTTTTTGTTGGAAACATATACTTCGCGCTTCAAATGTGTCGAACACTACAACGTAAGCGAAGTGAACTACAACGAAGCAACTGCGAGACAACCAAAGCGGTTGACAGAAAGACAACAGCAAGAGGTTAAGTGAAGGTCAAAGGTCAGTGAGACAGCAAGGACACATAAATGACTCGCTATTGAGCAGTTACTCGAGTCGTCGTTGTATCGAACCGCAACGGCAGTTACAGTTTGTTAAAATGATAATTTTTGAAAGTGTATTCACTTTCTAAAATTTTGTATTGTGATAGTGAAGCGATTGCCAACGCAGCAAAGGCAGCGTCGCATCGCTACTCGCCCTCTTTTGGCTACAAAAGAGGGGTTGGAGGCCATTTGGCCTCACCCACGTTCTTCTTTTCAGATTTTTAGTTTGAGTCTCCTCTCAATCTCGTCCAATCTGGCGAAGACTCAGTCACTTCCACGTTTTACTGCTCCGACAACACTTCTCGCCGACATACTTAAGCACAACATTGCTTCAATGGCGCCCGTCAACAACGTTTCTATTCGCGAAGGAAACAAGACGGCGAACACCCCAGGCGCGCAAAACTCCGGAACTCTGCCCGGGGCAACCGCGCGTCGTGCGAAACGTCCTGCCGAGGAGGCACGTGAGGACCTCGCCACTGGCGTCGAAGTCCTGTTTGGCGCGACCTCCTCGGCGCCTTCCGAGGAGCTTCTTGCCGCGCGCGCTGCTTCTAAGCAGCCGCGCGACATGGCGAAAAAGACAGCCGCTGACGCGGCTGTCATCATCGCTTCGGCCGGCCAGGCCGGCCCTTCTGGCGCACGCGACATGGAGCACGCGCCAGCGGCACCCTCGACACCCTCGGCCCCTGCTGACGCCAGCCCCCCTGCCTTGACCACTGCGCAGGTTCAGGCACTGCTGGCGATGTTACAGCAGCAAGCACCTGTAACTGCGGGGACTTCTAACAATGACGAAGTTACAGCATCTGCAAAAAATAACAAGAAGGAAGAAAATGTCGTCGCCCCTCGCCCGCCTAAGGCCGCTCGCGTCGAGAAGAACCCCGCTCCGGCACCCGCCGAAGAAGACAGCGACGAGTCCGAAGATGCTGCTGGTGAGGCTCCTCGCTGCCGCAATCCAATTTTTTCCAATGCCCCTCGCTCCACTCTCCCCTCGCTCGCTCCCTCAACCGCAACTACCACTTTCAACCGCAAGGGTGTGCGTGATCAGGCAGAGGTTTTCTCTGCCATCCAAGCCCACCTCAGGCTTATGGAGCTCCAGCTGCAGCAAGGCGATGCGGGAGGAGCGCTCGCCAACATCACTCAAATTGAAACGCTCATTAACAAGCGCTTCGAGGTGCTCTTGGTGGCGGACGAGGCGGGTTTTGAAGCGGACGACCGCTTCCAACTCTATCAATCGAAGAGTGTGCTCACCTCCCGCTCCTACAAGCTGGCCGTGGCAGACGTGGCTGCATCGAAGCGCGCCCGCATGAGCTATAATCGCACCGTGCGCGGTAACGGCCTCGACAACGGGGAAATTGGCAACAAAGGTGCCGGACAAGGCTCATGCCAAAACAGGGCCTTCAAGGGCACCTGCTTTCGCTGTGGCCAGCCCGGGCACATGGCAAACGCCTGCCCCATGGGGGGGCGCGGCGGACAAGGCCCCACACCCGTGGTGTGAGGAGTAACCAAGGGCGATGCCCCTTTCCCCGCTTGCCGAAAGAGCATAGGGGATTGCACCAGGGGGTGCACGGCTGTGGAGCAGCCTAGGGACTTAAAGAGGTCAGGGGACCCTTAGATTAAGGCCAGGGTGGCTGATGGATGGCTCTGAAATGTATTTCTTGTTGTGAAAAAAAAAAAAACAAAAAAAGGGGGGGACTTGCAAGTTGTTTTTACTTCCTCATATTAAACCACGGGCTCTTGGTTGGAGCTGTACTTTGGAAATTAAGAGTTGGCAAGCCTACTCAGGGAATGTCAAAAGGAAAAGCCACGAACAATGGCAGCAAGAAGGAAAATCAAGAGGCAAAATCACATGCAAGCTCGCTCAAAAAGAAAAAAGAAAAAAAGGGGGGGGGGGGATGGGATGGAAGGAGCGAGAAAGCAAGGTGACAAAGGGGTTCCAAAAGGAGGGGCTGCCAAGGGGGCAGATTAAGAGGTGCCAAGGCTCGGCACACCCACGCCAAAAATCACAAGGAAAGGCCAAGGAGGGGGGGAGAGAGAGAGAGAGAGAGAGAGAGAGAGAGAGAGAGAGAGAGAGAGAGAGAGAGAGAGAGAGAGAGAGAGAGAGAGAGAGGAGGAGGTTGAACGGTACGGTGGCGCACAGATGCCCACGCCTACCCAACCCATCACTAAGTTGGACAAAAGGTAGCCGTCACTGGACGACGAGCTCTGCCCATCACCCCACACCGCAAAGTAAGACACCGGAAAAGGAGAAAGAAAAAGAGACGAAGAGAGAGAAAGAGAGAGAGATAGAGAAGGGAGAGGGGGGGGAGAAGGGCGAGGGGAGTCTCGCACACTACTCGTAGCATATGGTGCGTAGGACCACGATCGCTCCTTACTGATAAGCACACTAATGCCGTCTCCCGCATGTATTGTTTGGTACGCAGCCGAGTGCAACAAATGGGTGATGGGCGCAACCGACCCATACGAGTTCGCGATGACAGACACAACCATATTCGTGATGCAAGGCCGGCTACGCCAAGCACTCCACTGGTGGTGCTCATGGTGCGATAGCAGCTTCATCTTATCCATCATCGCACGTGGCTATTGGTTCCCATAGAAGAACGAGGCCCCCACGCCTTTTGAATCGAAAAACCACGCTGGCACACAAGCCCATGGTGATTTCACCCGAACAGCAGTCCAGGACCTCCTTCGCACGGGTGCCGCTGCAGAGGCACCCGATCGAGCCGCACTTTCATGTGTCAGCCCGCTCAACGTGGTCGAGCAACGCGAAAAATGTCGCCTCATACTGGATCTTCGGAAGGTCAACGAGCACTTGCGCGTGCCCAAGTTCAAATACGAAGGATTGCTTCGCGTGGCAGAGCTGATCAAGCCGAACGATTGGATGTTCTCCGTCGACCTCAAATCGGGGTATCACCATGTGGACATACACCCAACTTGTTGGCGATACCTTGGCTTCCAGTTTGACGGAGCATATTATTACTTCCGCTCCTTACCATTCGGGCTAGCCACAGCCCCGTTCGTCTTTACCCAACTTATCAAGCAGCTCGCTCGACGATGGCGTGCACGTGGATGGCGAGTGATCCCATACGTCAACGACATCTTGGTGCTATCCGAGTCAGCCCAACAAGCCCGATCGACATGCACCATGATCGTGCAGGACCTAAAGGACTCCGGTCTAGTGATCAACAAGAAGAAGTCTCAGCTGCTCCCAACCCAAGCACTCCGCTTCCTTGGCCTCGAGTTGGACACTCGAAGCGGCACATTCTTGGTGGGAGACGAACGTCGATCTCAACTAAATCCACAATGGCGACGCTCATTACCGAGGGGCGTAGAGGCCGCCAAGTACACATCCGCCACGTCGCCCGAGTCACCGGCATGCTCGCATCAATGAGCCTCGCTCTGGGAGCAACTGCACGAGCCTTCAGCCACGAGCTGCTCCAAACCATCAACACCGCACCATCATGAAACTCCCGGATATCGCTGTCATCAGAGGCAATCGACGAACTGGGCTTCTGGATGGAGCAATTCGACAAGTTCAATGGTGCCCCGTTCCATCAACCGCACCAGTACGATGCGGTCATCCAGGTGGATGCCAGCGCGCACAGTTGGGGCGCCACACTCGTCACGTTCCGCGGAGAGAGGAGCACAGCAAGCGCGAGCATGCCCTCACACTTGCCACCCACATCCAGCACCCGGCGGGAGCTGGAAGGTGTTTTGTGGTCACTACGCACCTTCATGCACCAGATCCAGGGTGGCCATACCCTAGTCCGTGTTGACAATCAAGGCGTCATGTTCATCCTACGCAAGGGCGGCTCAAGCACCACTGAGCTCACCCTCGCCTGCAAAGAAATCATCTCTCTTTGCACGGAACACTCGGTTCGCTTGGCAATCGAATGGATCCCCCGCGAGTTGAACACCCATGCGGACGAGCTCTCCAAGCTGCAAGACCATGATGACTACACTCTGAAACAACCTTGGTTTCGCCTCCTTGAACGTCGTTGGGGGCCCCACTCCATCGAACTATTCGCAAACGCTCGCAACGCGTTGTTACCTCGCTTCTGCTCGAAGGTGCCCCATCCCAAGGCGGAAGCGGTCAACACATTCTCGACGGATTGGAGTGGAGAGCACGGTTTCGCGTTCCCACCCCCCCACCTCATCCCAGCAACCCTTCGGCATGCGCAACGCACCCACGCTAAGATCACTCTTGTGATTCCACAATGGACAAGGGCTGCTTGGTGGCCCCTTGTGCAGCCGTCTCCCCAGACATGGGCCAAGGGGTGAGAAGAAACGAGGAATGGATTGACTAAGGGAAAGTTGGGTACAAATGTGAACCCTAGAAAAACTGTACCCCATATGTGCTACCCCACTATAGCCTACAGTAGCTATGTCATATAAATCTGACACACCCCCATAGGCAAAGTGGGGGAGAACAAGGGGTCACAAGACCAGTCAAGCAAAGCAAAGCAAGCTCAGGGTGGATCACA